TCTTTCCTCTTGAAATCAAGTATTTCTGTAGTCAAAATAAAGTAGGGACCTCTGAATGAATATACATTTCATAAAGACTAAAAGATTGTTTGTTTAATGTCTTAAATGAGAAAAAATACAGCAAAGTAATGTACTTGTGATTTTTAAACTTAATTTTTTTTTATTCAACTTTGAAACTTTTTTGGGCCCCTGACAGCTGTGGGCCCTTACAATCGTCCTAATCTTTCACCGCTTTACGGCACTCCTGTACCTAGGCAACGACTATATCATGTTCTTAGGGCTAAATGGCAGTATTCATCCTTATTGTGTGTTTGGTGTTACCTGTGCATCGATGTTGTGTTGTACCACCTTCATGTCAGGGAACAGGACTGATATAGAAACTGAATATCTGTGTAGCACCGCTCAAGGATCAGTAATGTGAACGTTTACGATTGTTCTGTTAAGTATCTACAGCACAATGTCAGAGTTTACTGTTCAGGTTGTCTGCTTTGGTCATACTTTAATTACAGTCTTGCCTCAGAGCGGTAAACTGAATTCAGCCTCATGACTGTCAAGCACCAAAAGGAAATGAATCATGTTCCTTTATTCAAGGCCGTCGAGTCTCTACGTGTGTTTCCTGTCTGGTGTGTGTGTGTGCGCTACAGCAGATGTGTCGCTCTGGTTTCATGTCCAGATGTGTGATGATTGATTTGAGACGGTTTTTCCTCTTTAATTGTGACTGATGTAAACTAGCAAAAGTCCGACCTGTACAGAAATAAAAGTCTGTGTCTGTGAACATGCCGCCGTGGTTTTAGTCATTGGTTGTTGGACATTTTGGACGTTGGAAGCAAAGTAGTTAAAGCTGTAAAAAGGAAAATGTCCACTCTGTTTTTGTACGTATTTAGTGTTTGTCATTGAAGGTAGCTGTGGTCCATTTATTGGTCTGGAACAATAGTCCTATTCTGGCCCGTGTCTCCGGAGGGAGGCTACAGCACTCTGCGTTCTCGGCTCACTCTTGTGTGCCAGCAAGACTCGGTTTAGGATTCAGTTTCCACAGCCACCTGGAGCTCCGAGCACAGGAATGTCATTGTTCTTCCTCCCAGACTATGTCCAGATTAGACACTCGTGCAAACACGTACATGCACGTCAACAGAAATGTTGACTTTGCTAATAAGTACTTCATTTATTTAAAAACATGTCTGTGTCGTCCCAGCACTGCAGGACTGAGATCAAGAGCTGCCAACTGATGAAATGTGTTCGCTGTGCCTCTTTTTGATGCTCCAGTCGGTTTCACAGCCTCCACGTGTCAAAATCATTGTTGATTAAACAGAAGGAGAGATCTCTACCCACTCATGTGGCCTTACCAAGCAAAACGTACCGGGAGAAAATCTGTGTCCGCATCTGAATGTGACATTTACAGCTCTGCCAACGCCGAGCTGGAGCTGATAAACCATTGCTGCTACTGCAGAGTCATTTGACGCGAGGCCAAGTGCTGCCTGTATCCTTCCCTATTTCACCGTCAGTTTTATTTAAGTACTTTTGAAGCAACAGAAGGTCAACAGAGAAGTGAAGTTAAGCAAAAGCTGAAACAGAAATTCAAACAAAATTCCAAAACATAAATAAAAATACAACAATGTCCCAAAAGAAAATATTAAAGACATCATTATTTGGCTTAAAAACAGTACTTTGTCTTTACTGGATGGTGTTTTTATGATTTTTTCTTGAGTTTCACATGCGTGCTGAATGCAGAAATAAATGTCTTCAACCCCATTAGCCACAGAAATGGAGAACAATGGTTGGGTCAAAAAAAAGCCTGTCTTGTCCATGTCACAGGGAAAATTAACATGCATGGCCCCGCCCACTTTGCCTCAAAACTGCTGAAGGCTTTTATGGTGTTTACGACCAGGAGAGCAGAGCGCATCTCTGGTAGTAGAGGCTAACTGTTAGCAACTCCACAAGATGGCGGAGCACATTCGGGGTTGTGTTATATGTGGAGATAAAAAAAAATCAACATTGGATTTTTTTTTACTCGAGAAAAAAGTGGATGGAAGCAGTGGAAGAGTCGTGCTGCTGTTACCCAATCAGAGGTGACACATTTTCATATCATGAATATTAATTAGAAAGACTCCTAATCCTGTTTTCTGTTGCCCTCTCCCCTGACAAACCTCCACCCCAGAAACGAGCATTCATTCTTACTAGAGACCACAGACTATTTACACTAACAAGTGAGTGAGAGCTTTAAGGTGTTTTAATAATGACAGACATATTTTTAAACTCTCAGACCCATCAACTTTTAAAATAATTAGTTTTGTTTGAAAACTACACTTTAACACACACACACTCTCTTTGGAAATGTCCACACCCTACAGGTTAAAAGTTAAGATTTGTTCACTTAAAGTGACAGGGTGTATTTTTCCTGGTGATGGGGGGCAGTAGATACCTAAATTGTTGCAAGCTAGCAGTATTTTTGTGTTGGAGTAAGACTTCACCAACGATGCCCATTAGGGTCAAAAAGCCCTGTGGACTGCAAACTTCAGCTAATGAACGGGCACATCAGACTCCCTTTCATCACTGGCAGCAAGTGAAGAGGTAAATGTGTAAAACAACAACACTTAAGAATGGTGAAAGTTTTGTAACCGTTTGTTACAAATCGGTAAATGCATTTTGTCCTCATGGGCTCCCGTAGAAGGAAACATGGCGTCTTATAGAGCTCCGGGAGTTGACGTCACTTCTCCCGGCATGCAACAGTTCAAATCGAAACGGCGCCATATTGGCATGCAGAAGCCGGCAGCTGGACTATTTGTTATTGTCAGAAAACTCAATCAAACGGGAAATATGGTAGATTCCTGTTGTGTCCCAGGATGCAGAACAGACGCGGATGACATAAGGAATGAGCCATCTACAGGATTCCCCAAGATCCGGAGCGCCGCAAACGTTGGATCATTGTAATAAAACGCGCTAGTGACCGGGCGAAAATGAAACTGTGGGACCCCGAGAGTAAAGGTTTTAGCCTATGCAGCGACCGCTTCATATCAGGTACTCAAACCAACGTTTCCTCAACTGTGTGTGGTATTTATTTTAAATGCTTTTATTATGATTCTTAGTGGGCTTCCTAAACTTATTATGGCGTGGCTTTTTCTGTCTTATTACTCACAGCAACAAGTAAACGTCACGTAAAACGTTGCCTCGTGAGTTCTGCGTGCTGCCGTTTACGTGTTTTATGATAACAGCAATTAACCGGCTAAGCTGTATTTAATTTTTAAGCAATGGTTGATCAATTGTCAGATCACACAAAAAGCACTTTGGATTGCTATTATCTGTCTCACCGAGACTACTTACGTGTAAATCTGTTATTTGTCCGTCCATCCATCCATTTTCATCCGCGTATCCGGAGTCGGGTTGCGGGGGCAGTAGCGTGACTTCCCTCTCCCCAGCCGCCGGAGCCAGCTCCTCCGGGTAAATCCCAAGGGGTTCCCCGGTCAGGTCCGGTGTTGTGCCGGTAAGAAGCCCGCTCCGACAGCTTCTGGCGTCGGAGCGGGCAGTAGAGTCGAGAGTCCCAGACCTTCTCCCCAGCTCCTCCGGCCGGGGGAATCCCAAGGGGTTTCCCCGGCCAGGTCCGGTGTTGTGCCGGTAAGAAGTCCGCTCAGACATCTTCTGGCGTTTTTAAAAAGTATCCCAGGGGCACGGTAAGGGTCGGAGATGTTTAGTCTATTTAATTTCTGACTATATAAAACGATTTCTTCTGTTTTAAAGTAGGGCTGCTCGATTATGGCAAAAATAATAATCACGATTATGGTGACTGAAATTGAGATCACGATTATTTAGGACGATTTTTCAATTTATGATGATTTTATTTGTTTTTATTCAGTCATAAAATTGCTCAGGGCACAATTAGGACAAAAATAAGAAACAAGATGGTCACTAAAATAACTCCTGATTCCCAGGATAAAAAGACCAATATACTTATAGCTCATAGTCTATGACCCAAGGGCTATAGACCTTGGTTTAACTCATTTAAGTCTAACCAGTACAGACCCAAATACCAATATCTTGCAAATACTGACAGCAAGAATTATACAGTGGCATTTATAACAAATAAATGCAAATAAATTGATGTTCACAAAATGTTGCATAACATTTATTGAGTCGTGTCAAGGTGCTGTAGGAGAGTGCACTAGCACTGTGTCCTCACAGAGATTAGTTATTATTTATCAGCGTGAGTAACTTATTTCTACCTTATTTATAAACTATTTATTTACAAGTCGTCCATCAGTTGATGTAATAATTGTCCCAACCACAGCTGCACCCCCCACCCCGGTCTTACAGCAATCGGGCAAGCTGCACGTGTGTTTAGCACGCTGCACGCGCACATTTAGCTGTTTTTAGCGGCTCAGGAGTCCGCAGGTACGGTGTGTGTCACTCACTCTGGTTAATCCAACAGGGAGCCGGCTCTGAGAGCTGTTTCTTTAGCGACCGACACATCACTGCATCATTCCCTTTCCTAATGTTGTGAAGAACGGTCCGGAGCGCAGGCGGAGTGTTTAGCTAACCTGCAGGAAATGTCGACGACAGTTATCCAGAAAGTAGCTAAGGGTTACCAGAGATGTTTCTGAGATGTTCGCTAGGTACTTTTAAGATTAAAAAGTCAAGAAGGGGGTCTGAAAAGCTGCTAGAAATAGCGTCAAAGTCGCTAAGTTGGCAACACTGTGAGGAGCGCTTCATTTGCAACTCAGGGCAGCGCAAGCGGGAGGAGCAAATAATCGGCTTGTTTTGTTTTTTATAATCGTTCAAAACTCAGATCGTAATCGTGATTAAAATTCGATTAATTGAGCAGCCCTATTTTAAAGTGTGAAGTAAACTCCGACGAAGTAAAATCCAAGCGGATCCCGTTCATGTTCATGGTTACATCCGTGTTTGTTTATCTTTTTTGCATGCCAAAATGGCGTCCACTAACTGAGAGTCACGTGGGGTCCGGAGCTCTATATGGTGTCGCCCAGAGACTTAGGCATTCTCCCATGTATTTTAGACCTGATTTTTATGGTTATATGTTACGAAGCCGCCAATATTTTTCAACAACTGGGCATCATTTCATTCGTTTTCAGCAACATTTTGATGGATATTTCCAGAAATTAATGGTTAAAAACTACACCTTGTCTCTTTAAGCATGTAGAGACAAGTACACACACACTTAAGCAGGAGGAAGTCTCACTCTTTCTGCCACCCAGACTTGTTTTCTTACATCTTTCATCTTTTCAGACCATCTAGGCAACACTTTTTGAAAGAAGCCACTCTGTGAAGAATATAGTCATTTCTGACATCACTGTAATGATGCATGCACAGGACGAGCTCCAAATCTGTGTGCAGCCAATCGTATCCGATAGAAGCCGAACCAGACAAGAGTGCAGTTACTTCTGTGAGCCGACAAGCGTGTGAACGTGAGTACGGTCGAATGACACCGCGCTCACGGGCTTCAGTACCTCGTCAATAGAGACATAACTGTAAATGCACGAGTTTAGCTGAAAAGTACAACGGATGTAGATGAGTTACCCTCAGCTACACAGGTTTAGGATTATTGATCAGTAAACAAAATGCAAAACAATATAATTTCACGTTATCCAGAACCACCAGAACTGTATTGTATTCACACATTTTGTTCCTGCCCTGAAAGGCAAATGAATATGTGTTACGTCACATTTTAGTAGATCAAAACCAAGATGCTGTGATGTTTTAACACTCGTGAATCCAATTTATCTTCTCTTTTTCTTACAAAAGCTTTGATGTCTTGTTTGCTAAGATGCTTACCCTGCTTGTGGTATTATACCAGTTACTCTACCTGGGTAAGCCTGCCAAGATTAAGCGTAGAGCTTCCAGAAGGTCACTCTGGGTGTTTGTTGGTAGATCAGCCGGATCAGATAGTGGAGACTTAGTGGATCTTCAGGGTGAGAAAATGAAAGAAAGCAGTTTTCCTGTGTGAAACGGTGTGAAACCTCGACTAGTCCAGAAGAAAAGCATGCTGGTTGAATACAGCAGAGAGAAGTAACTGACCAATGTGTAGTTTTACATTCATAAATACACTTTTTCCATTTGCCACACGGTGTTTGAACCTTTAAATCTGGTACTTCTCTTTCTAAACTCTCTTATTGTCATTTATGTTGTCAGAGGGAGTTTATAATTCAGCAGTAGCTCAACAGGTTGAGCAGCTTGTCCAGCAATCGGAAGGTTGCAGGTTCGATCCCGGCTCCGGCCAGAGAATTCTGCCGTTGTGTCCTTGGGCAAGACACTTAACCCACCTTGCCTGCTGGTGGTGGTCGGAGGGACCGGTGGCGCCAGTGCTCGGCAGCCTCGCCTCTGTCAGTGCGCCCCAGGGCAGCTGTGGCTACATCGTAGCTCATCCCCATCAGTGTGTGAACGTGTGTGTGTGTGAACGTGTGTGTGAATGGATGAATGATACACTGTAGTGTAAAGCGCTTTGGAGTCCTTACTCTGAGAGGCGCTATACAAGTGCGGGTCATTTATCATTTAATTCTGCATTTGGAAGCAGTTTGAGTCCCGATTTTATAAAAGGTTATTATTAATAATACAGAACATATGTTTCACCGCTGCGTTACTGGATAGGTCACCACGTCTGCTGCCTTGTTCTGAGCCGAGTGTTATAAGAATGAATTGGAATATATATTTTTAAGAACTATATGAATAATGTAATAGACGTTGTTTTGCATTGTGCTAAAGCCAAACCTACTGATAGCTGTAAACTGTCACACTGGTTTTTCTTTTGACCGTTTTAAAGCAAAAAATTGGCTTTTCGCCGTTCTTTTGGCAGACATTAATACAGTGACTTGACACCTGCATTCACAGTAAGCACCACAATGAATGTGCTGCTGAAGTTCTGATGAAGTCGTGCAGAACTGACGGTGCTGGTTTTTAGAATATTATGGGACGAACTGTTGTGAGAGGAGATGTAAAGTTGTTTAAAGATGACAGCAACTTTGTTCTTGGCTGTCCTCGAACAGCTGCTCACCAGTCCTGCAGGATACGTAAGCACTATTTTGTTAAGCTGAGGCTGTTCGGGAAGCAATGTACAGCAGAAAAGAAAACGATTTACAACTTTTACTCAGAAACACTAAAATCGCCCCAAATCACTTTCTTCTACTGGATTGTTCCTGTTTCAGTGTGTGTGTGTGTGTGTGTGTGTGTGTGTGCGTGTGCGTGTGTGTGTGTCTTGCTCTAGAGAGGGTCACATTAAGGATAGAATTGCATGGAAGTGGGTCAGCCAGTGCCACCAGGGAGTCCTGTCAGCTCTGACTGGACCCAGCCAAAGGCCAACACAAACACAGAAAACATGGCTGCATTCATGAACGAGCGCATGTGTTCACTACATGTGTGTCCCGTGTATTCCCGGGGGGTGTTAATTGATGATGCACAGATCAGATTTTTCAAGCAGCGGTAGGTGTGTGACCTTTGCTTTCTGTAATTCTGTGACCTAACATGATGCTACCTCGTTGCCGTACTTTGACTCCTCATAAAAAGCTTCGGTGGAAGAAACGTCGCCGTCAGGGCAAGAAGAGCAGCAAAGCGAAGCTGTAGCTGAGCGTGCTTTAACCACATTTACAGCCACCACAGATGATTCAAAGCCTGTCACACTCCATGTGTCTCAGCTGGATGGACATCATGTTTCTGCAGGCTCAACGATAAGGAAATAGGATTTAGCTCCGTATTCAGCAGATCTTTGTTCCAACTCCTGGCTGCAGTCTCTTGTTTTCTTCATTGGTTCTTCTCTGAGGAGGACTTAATGGGCTATTTCTGTTCCTCGCCTGGAAGCTTGTGTCCTTCCTTGTGTTTGAATAGAAAAGGCATCATTAGAAGGTAAAAAATGCAGAAAGAGCTTGATATTGGATTGTCACAGCAAGGATCCTTCATGCCTTCTAGCAGGTGTAAGAGGAGTCTGCAGCTCCAAACCAAGTGGCGGAGTTAGAGGATTATGTTAGAGGTGGTGTGTGTGTGCGCGTGTGTTTCTCACAAAGACGTTTAAATTATTTAGAAAGATTTGTATCCAGATCTATATTCAATGTTTAAACCCTGCTGTTTGGCAAGCATTAGGTGTGTTTGCAGTAGTCGTGAACTTGCAGCTAACCTAGAAGTTTCTGTTTGTTCAGTGGAGTTATTACTTTTCTCAGGCCGCTGGGTCCACTTTGCAGGTCTCATCATTATTGTGTTCTGTTGGATTGCAAAGTTTACTCAAATAATTGATTAAAAGGTCCACAATAATTGATCTAGCAGCAACAGTTGGTGAGATAAGTAATTCAGGGGTATCATCTTGGGATTTACTCTCTCGGCTCCCGTTTGTCGCATTAGCAAACAGCAGCAGCCAGCTGTTCTGGTGCTGAGAGCCAACGCCGTGCCGTGCACAACTTAGTAGTCTTCAATAGGAAACACTGAAGAGGAAAAAGAAGAGACAGTTCATCATTCATGAATGTTAAATGATTATAATGTTTAGTCTTTGCTAAGTTTGCCAGCATTACCAAACTCAGCTTCTGGTATACACAAATCTGAAGTGATCCCAGCCCGGTAGCTTTGAGTTACGTGGTCTTCAGTGTGGCTCCAACTAGGACCTTCTCTGTGAACATGTTCAGCTCAGGTGTCTCCGTGTGTTGCATCTGTTTCTGTCTGAGACACTACCAAACAGGAGGGAAAACCCCTTCCACGCCGCCTGTCGTCAGGAAACGGAAACTGTCCACATCGAGCTGACTGGTGAAGAAACATCTGCATGAAGCACCCGTCTGTGTTCATGTGGGCGTGGAGAAGCACGAGACTGTTAGAAGGTTGTAGGAGAGAACGAATCGTGCCACGATGATCCAGATTATTAGACTTCTCCAAATGTGTTTATGCTTAAGGTATAATCCTACTAATGTAATAGCAATAGCTTTATATAAAGCAATAAGTGAACGTTTAATTATTAAAACACCTTCAACTAAAAATTGCATTAAAGGTTCTAGGGATGCACGTTTCCCAAAATGTCTAACTGGCTATTGACACGCCTGTCAGTGTTTAAGTTTTCATTAAGCTGTACGCTTTATTAAGGCCGTTTTAGGACTTCAGGATCAGCAGAGGAAACATCAGAATAGTAAAAGACGCTTGAACTCCTGTAAAAAGCAGCTTGTTTTATTTTAAGTGTCTCCCATTCAGTCTCAGCATAGAAACTCCCTGCTGCAGATGTCCACATCCAGCTTAGATGACAGTGGCTGAAATGCTGTTTGGACTGGAGTGATGCTACAACCACAGAGACTCATATCCACACACAAACACCACATAACTACAATATAACCGATGTTCAGAAAGTGAGTAGCTTGGAGACTTGTGCATCTTCATCCAAGGTGTGACTGGATTTAAGATTTGGATCCATTAGAGCCTGCTACAGTTATTTGGTATAGCTAAATAGGAGATGGTTGGTGGTAGCGGTACAAAAGGACGCTCCCAGCTGAACATCTCTGCACTTTGTCTTTGTCATAGCGAGCTATCCGTCTAGCTAACCCTGATAAAGTTGCAGTTCGCTCGCATACACGCAGCCATCCATCTCCAGCTCTTATCTGCTGCTGCTCTGAGTGTCTGTGTGCTTGTCTCTCTGAGGACTCTTTGAGTAGAGTTGTTCTGGCTCGGTCACACGGATAGCCCGTATCAACAGTTAGTCCCTAGCTGATGGACTGCAGAACAACACAGCCCTTGTTTTTCTCCGTAAGTGTGGGTGTGTATGCTAACCCTTCAGAAACTGCAATTCTACTAGGTTACAAATGTCCGTCTGCGCTCATGTGACTCCTAAAAGTGTGTGTGTGTGTGTGTGTGTGTGTGTGTGTGTGTGTGTGTGTGTGTGTGTGTGTGTGTGTGTGTGTGTGTGTGTGTGTGTGTGTGTGTGTGTGTGTGTGTGTGTGTGTGTGTTAGTTATATGTGCTGCAGTGTAATCTGCTGGGGATTTGGGTCAGTGTGGCCAGACCAGAGAGCAGGAGACTGTTGCTGCTGTGTTTCTCAGGAATCACACGCTTCGGTGTTTTTGCTTTAGCTCTACATTGTGTACTGTGTGGCGTTCAAGTCCTCACGCTGTGACTTTTTCAGTCGTGGGTATTCTTTTCACTTCCTGGTCATTTTCAGCTGAAGGAACCAGGGCCGAAGTAGAGAACTGCATGGGAGATAAATTTTCATCCCATAAACTCGACGCAGGTTGAGCCGACTCACCAAGCGTGGATCTCATTTTAAATTTTTCCCATTTTTACTTTAGTGTGTCATCTGAAACAAAATGCTTTGGTCAGTCGTTATTTTATTTTGTCTTTCATGAACGGAGCTAAAGGAGAAGAGTCTTCAGAGACCTAATCAGATCTGTGGGACTTCTCTTTTCTAAGACTAGATTTTCTATCGAGGCTAAATTTAAGAGGATGAGCCCATCAGTCATGCTGGGAGCTCACAGAGGATTTTACCTGAAGTCTTTTTAAGTTCAGGTGATTGCTGAACACTTAGAATACACGATGAACGCTCATTGGAGTTTATGTAGTGTAACAAGGGCTGTGTGGTGACATGGGCCATTGTTCTCATGATGGAGCTGCTTAAATGAAATATTGACACCAGCAGGCCGGCTCGATGTGTGTGTGTGTGTGTGTGTGTGTGTGTGTGTGTGTGTGTGTGTTTAGATGCTTTCTAGTTATCGAGCGGGCTTTTTGCCACAACCAAACGGCTATCGAGTGTCACTATTTAGACGTATGGTCTCCTAGATCAAACCAATCGAACTGATGCAATATTTGTTTCCCGTTGTGTTTTAATGTTTGCAAGTAAAAAAAGAAACTACAGGCTCAATAGTGCTAATTTAGCTTCGACTGAATGACATAGTGACAGATCACATGATCCCTCAAACGGCCAATAGCAGGTAACTGCTAATAGTGGATGTCTTACTTGTAGGGGCCGTGTCGAATGACTCTGTTCAAACATGCTGTGGTTTTCTCTCTAAACATCAAAATGTTAGCATGATAGGATAAGAAAGTGTTGACTATTACCCCGTAGACCTCCAGCTGTGTTGCTCAAGCGGTTGCATTGCATATTGCAAAGGTAATAAAGGATTTCGCCTAAGCAATAGAAAACAGGCAGTTGAGTTTACAACACAGACCAACGTGTGCTAACACCTCTAACTGTTGCTCTCTAGCTGGAAGCATCTCATATCAACAGATTTAATCTAGAAGGATTAAAGCTACAATTCTGAAAAAGCTAATTAGCTTAAAACATTTTTATACCTCTTAACAACATTTGAATATAGTTCAGACTGAAACCAACCATCGGACCTTCCGGTCTCACAGACCCGCCGCACCTCTCCAGGTCCTCCACTCATCACACACTCACGTATTCAGCACCAGAACACCACCGGAGTGAGAGGATCTCGGCTCAGTAACACCAGAGAAGGAGAAACAGGAGAAACTGCTACCGCTTCAGCTTTAGGACAAACTACCAGAGTCCCAAAGAGAAAAACATCATCTGAAGTCACGGTTAACACTACGTGCTAACCATCGACATATAAATATTGGACAATGGGTTTCCATAGACACCAATACGTTTTTGTGCTAAAATGGGAGGTGGCCACCACCGCCATTTTGACCGTGTCACAGGTTCCGTCAAGCCCAGACAATTCCATAAAAGGGAAGAGAGGTGGAGCTGAGGGAGGGGCTGTAAGGCTGGGATCAACTGACGACACCCGGTCGAACTAGCTACAAGCTAATCTGAAGCTAACCCAAAGCTAACGCGGAGGTGGGAGCTAAGCTAACGGAGGTAGCAACCTAGCTACAACCGGAGTTAACTGTGCACAACACCAGAGCTTCTGAGTCAGAGATGCGCCGGGCTGACCGCTGGGTAAAACCGGGTGGAACACAGAGGTCTCCCGAGACCTCCACAAGCCGGCAGCCGCGCAGCACACAGAAGCCGCGATCAGACAGAGATGCGCCGGGCTGACCGCTGGGTAAAACCGGGTGGAAAACATCGGTCTCCCGAGAGCTCCACAAGCCGATAGTGGGAACCCAGCTCCACCAACATGTTATATTTCAACCCATTTTCTAAAGTGCAGCATTATGTTAAATGCACTGGGTTTACCCTATTACATTTAAATTTCATGGTTAAACAGTACATGTTAAAATCTAAGCTCAGCTCGGCAGTGACCTAAAATACATAAATATAATTTTACTTACCGAATAAAATGAAGTGGAGACTCCTTGGACGCTCTATTAGTGCAATTAATGCCACAGCAAGTCATTTTGTCCAACAATTGCACAAATAATATCCAAACAAGAATACACACACACAGAGACGCAAAATCCCGGAACAGTTTCCAGGCCAGACCGAGGCTCTACTGAGGCCTTTCCCCGGAGCTAGCTCTGTGGTCACGTGGGTCTGATGCTCATTAATTATACAGAATTTTAGGCTTTTAATACACTTAAACAGAAGAGTGAGAAAAACATTCACCCCCCTCAGAGTTGTCATGAGTGTAAACTAGATCATTTAAACCTAAAACATGTTCTGGTACCAGGCTGTAAACATGTTTATTTCTGCTGTGAAATTGGTATTTTTAACATGGGAGTCAATGAGGATTTGCTCGCTTCTGACACCAGCCCCTAGTGGATGAGGGGGGAACTGCAATTGTTGGTACTTCCGCGTTGGACTCAATTTTTCACCCGCATTGTGGGGGCTTGGTGCTAACAAGTTATGTCTATGTGGGGCTGGTGATTGTAATCAGAATCAGTCAGTATTATTTTGTGATCAGCTGATCTGAAACTGTGCACCACTGTAGCAAAAGCCTGACATTTCCTCCAGTCTGTCAACTTGCCAACGCCAAGTTCACGCTA